TTCCCCCCCCCCCCCCCCCAACAGCTATATTGATTAGTAGCCATCACCCTTAAGATTCAGACTACTGGAAATATCATTTAGAGAACTGCTAGTTTGAACTCCCAGATAACCAGAAGTAAAAAATAAAAGGAATTACATAAACTAGTTCACTATGAACCTTAAAACTCCAGTTACTTCATATGGTAAAGGTAAAAGAAGATAAAAGGCTTGCAACCAACGATTAAGATAAATAATTCATGCAGTGCGTACAGTTATGGCACTTGGCCTAACTCAACCCCAAAAGCTAACTCATGAGGGGATGATTGCTCAAGTCTATATAAGTAGACCACCAGTCAATTCCCCAACCAATGTGGGACTTTAACCACTCTACACCTCTTTCACGCCCAAGCCTAACTGAAGTGTGAACCGGGAGCCCAAACGAGGATAGACCTGACATTGATACCATGTAAAGATAAGACACCTAGGTCAAACTCAATCCAAGAAGTTATCTTGTGAGGGGAGGATTGCGCATGGCCATGTAAGAAGATCACCAGTCTATTACCCAACCAATGATGGGCTCTAACCCACTCTAACATAATGAAAGATTTCATTGCCTGAAAACAATTAAGCATACAGTGTCCCACTCCCAACACTTGAAACCCGAGTCTTTTGTTTAGAGGTGAAAGAATCTTTACCGTTCTACCACACCCTTCAATGGTCATAGAAGACTTAAAGAGCACAGAAATGCAGAGATGCCAAAAAGCATCACAGGAATTCCTAATAAGTTATCATAAGCTTTCTGCAGATGACTGGTGAATAAGAGAAGTACACTAGAATTTATCAAAAACCATGAACATTTGCCATAAGAAAACAAATTTAAGGAAATCAAAAGATTCTAACATTCCTTATGTACTAGCACCAAAAACAAACGTATAGTATACACTAGGAAGATTGAGATCATGAGATCTCAGGTTCAAATTTCAACGGAGTCAAAAATACTAGATATTTCTTCCTATTTGTCCAAGCCTTGACAGACAGAGTTACTCAATGTTGTGTTGGTGGGATGGTGGGAGACAACAAGGTACCCCTGAGACTAGTCGAGACGCACAAACGGGCTTGGACACCACGGTTGTTCAAAAAGAAAAACATATTTATACATGTAACAGAGTGGTGAAAGAAAAGAAGAGCATTACCTTCACCACAACCAAGCTTAGGACTCTTGAAACAAGTCTCAGAGCGCAAATACTGAAGCAAAGTTGTCGAAGGATCGACGGATGGCAGCTCAAACCTCTCTCCATTAACTGCAAACACCAAATTCCCCTTTTTCTGTCTTTCCTCCATTACTACAATAGCCTCCTTAAAATCAAAATTCTATGGTTAGCTCCTTCACAAAAAAATATTGTCTTTTTTCTACTTTCAGTTGAAAAATATCAGAAGTGAAAGAAGAAACATGAATCTTGAATTGAATTAGGTGTCCAAAAACTTGACTCTTAAACACAAAAGATTCTTGAATAAATTTTTTTTGGCTAGCTGAAATATTGAAGCAGTTAACTTTGACACATACCCTTTACCAAAAATCTAGTCTTTTTCAACTTTTTTTCTACTTACAGCGCTGAAAAATTAGCAGAACTGGAAAAAAAACAAAAATCTTGAATTGGGGGTCCAAAGCTTGACTTTTTAACACAAAATACCCTTTATCACAAATCTTGTCTTTTTCAACTTTTTTTCTACTTACAGAGCTGAAAAACTACCAGAACTGGAAAAAAACAAGAATCTTGAATTGGGTGTCCAAAGCTTGACTTTTTAACACAAAAGCTTCTTAAATCAAGATTCTTGGCTAGCTGAAGCAATGACACACACCCTTGATAAAAAAACTAGTCTTTTTCAACTTTTTTCTCTTACTGAGCTGAAAAATTACCAGAACTGGAAAAAAAAACAAGAATCTTGAATTATATAAATTTGGTATCCAAAAGCTCGACTTTTCAACACAAAAGCTTCTTCAATCATAATTCTATCTAGCTGAAACACTGAAAGCAGTTGACTTTGACACATACCCTTCATCAAAATCTTATCTTTTTCAAATTTTTTCTACATACTGAGCTGAAATATTACCAGAACTGAAAAAAAAAAAAAGAATCTTGAATTGGATGTCTAAAAGCTTCTTCAATCAAGATTCTTGGCTAGCTGAAACACTGAAGCAGTTAATTTTGACACATACCCTTTATCAAAATCCTTATCTTTTTCAACTTTTTTTCTACATACTGAGCTGAAAAATAACAGAACTGAGAAAAAGCAAAATCTTGACTTGTATGAATTGAGTGTCCAAATGCTTACTTTTTTAAAACAAATGCTTCTTAAATCAAGATTCATAGCTAGCTGAAACAGTTAACTTAGACACATACCCTTTATCAAAAATCTTATCTTTTTCAACTTTTTTTCTACATACTGAGCTGAAAAATAACAGAACTGAAAGAAAAATCAAGAATCTTGAATTGGGTGTCCAAATGCTTACTTTATAACACTAATGCTTCTTAAATCAAGATTCTTAGCTAGCTGAAACACTGAAGCAGTTAACTTTAACACATACCCTTTATCAATAATCTTATCTTTTTCAACCTACTGAGGTGAAAAATATCAGAACTGAAAGAAAAAGCAAGAATCTTGAATTGGGTGTCCAAATACTTACTTGTTAACACAAATGCCTCTTAAATCAAGATTCTTAGCTAGCTGAAACACTGAAGCAGTTAACTTTAACACATACCCTTTATCAAAAATCTTATCTTTTTCAACTTTTTTTCAATCTACTGAGCTTAAAAATATCATAACTAAAAGAAAAGGCAAGAATCTTGAATTATATAAATTGGGTATCCCCACAACTTGACTTTTAACACAAATAACTTTATGCTACATTATAAAGGGAAAATGTAGCTCACAATTATGTGAAATGTGATGGTTATTTTGAAAGAAGAAGAAGAAAATATTTCAAAGTTTTAATAGTAATGATGGAGAAAAAGATTCAATAATTTTGGACCACTCAGGTCACGAGTGTATTTATTAGGTAAAGGACTTTATTACTAATTTAAGATACTATTTCCACACTTCTTTCTCTCTATTTATAGGTAAAAGATAAAAGAGAGATCTTTTTTATGCCCTGACATGTGCTTTACATGTTGTGATGTTATCTTCTTCCCACCAAGTCCTTTTATTTTAGGGAAAATGCTCATATATATTATCGAACTTTGACAAAAAATTTATTTATGTCATCTGTTAAAAGTTTGACTTAACAATACATTGTTGTTTGAGAAAAGACTCAAGATAGAATATTTTTTTTCATGTGGAATGTCATATGATAATTTAGGTATGAAACTCACACTCTCAATAGTTTAGGTATAAAACAAAAAAAAAAACGAATAGTTCAATGTGTTTTTGACACTTTATCTCTAAAAATTGTGTCCTTTTTAATTATACTTATGTAACACTCATACCTCTATTCCCCACTCCCCCTTGTATTATTTTATTTTTTTTGTACTAAACACATCCTCTAATTAATAACTTTCAAAAGTTGAAAGATTATTTTTTAGAAAAATCATTATTTTAATAACACTCAAATGCAAAATTGTAATTATACAATCTATGCAAATATAACTAATGAAAATTTCAATATAAAAAAATCAACAGATATCTTTTATTAAAAATATTATCTTTTTCGAAATTACTGAAATTACTCATGTAAAATGTGATGATTATTTTGAAGAAAATATTTTCAAGGATGATTGAGAAAAATTCAACCAATTTAAACCGATCATATCATAATTATAGTAGATCTACTTATTAATAATTTAAGGCAATTACTTTCCCACTTCTCTCTATCTGTTTATAGATAGATTACTGATAAAAGAGAAATCTTATTTACATGTGCCTTACATGTTGTGATGTTATCTTTCTTCCCACCAAATCTTTTTATTTCACGGAAAGAATTTAAATATGTTACCGAACTTTGAAAAAAAGATATATTTATGTCATTCTTTAAAAGTTTGATTTATATATATCATTTTTGTTTGAGAAATACTCATTATCCATGCTATTATTTTCGAACGAAAAAATAATTTCAATTTTGCAAAACCATTTTTATGTGGTCAATTATGATTCGGACACGTCATTAGTTAATTTTTATTTAAAAGGAAACAGACTTAAATATGCCACCAAACTTTGAGAAAGGCTCATCTATGTCATCCTTTAAAGTTTAGCTCATCTATAACATTTGAGTTAAAATAATAGCATGGATGAATATTTTCCCAAATGGAAATATTGGCAAAGATAAGTCAAATATTTAATAGATGACATAAATAAGCCTTTATTATATTACTCGGGAGATATGCATTGAGTGTTAGGAAGATATTCAATATATTTTTAGAGTGGGTCTTTACTTGTCTGATTATTTAGTGAGATTTTTTTTGGACGAAAATAAATCGAGATAAAAAACTTATTGATATTTCATATAGGTTGTGTCCTTATATGTAGGGCTCACACCCCTATCCCTCACTTCAACCATGTATTATTTTTCTGAAAAATATTTTCTTTCGTACTGAACACACCTTTTAATAGCTTTCAAAAATTAAATGACTTTTAACACAAATAACTTTATGCTACATTATAAAGGGAAAATGTAGCTCACAATTATGTGAAATGTGATGGTTATTTTGAAAGAAGAAGAAAATATTTCCAAGTTTTAATAAGGATGATGGAGAAAAAGATTCAATCATTTTGAACCACTCAGGTCACAATTATATTTATTAGAAAAAGAGAGATTTTTTTTGTGCCCTCACATGTGCTTTACATGTTGTGATGTTATCAATCTTCCCAACAAGTCCTTTTATTTTAAGGAAAATGCTCAAATATATTATCGAACTTTGAAAAAAAGTTTATTTATATCATATGTTAAAAGTTGACTTATCAATACATTGTCGTTTGAGAAAAACTCAAGATGGAATATTTTATTCATGTGGATGTCATAACTCATATGATAAGGTTTTTGCAAATAAAAGAGAGTGTATAGTACACACACCACTGAAATGTGTTTCTCAAACTAATAAGTGATAGTTTAGATATAAAACTCATACTCTCAATAGTTTAGGTATGAAATTAAAAAAAAAAAAATTAATGTGTTTTTGACACTCGTCTCTAAAGATGGTGTCCTTTCTATTTATTTTAAAGAAAATATTTCCAAGGATGATGAAAAAAATTCAATCAATTCAAACCGTTCATGTCATAATTATAGTTGGGTCTACTTAATAATTTAAGGCAATTATTTTCCCACTTTCTCTATCTATCTATAGATTATAGATAAAAGAGAAATATTATGTATGTCCTTGCATGTGCTTTATGATGTTATTTTTCTTCCCACCAAATCCTTTTATCTCAAGGAAAGAATTTAAATATGTTACCGAACTTTGAAAAGAGATATATTCATGTCATTCTTTTAAAGTTTGACTCATCTATACTATTTTTATTTGAGAACGACTCATTATCCACGCTATTATTTCCGAATGAAAAAAAATATTCAATTTTGTAAAACCATTTTTTATACGTGTGGTCAATTATGATTCGAACATGTCATTAATTAAATTATTTTTTAAAATAAAAAATGTTCAAATATGTCATCAAACTTTGAGAAAGGCTCATCTATGTCATCCTTGAAAATTTAGCTCATCTATGTCATTTCAGTTAAGAAATAATAGCATGGATGAACATTTTCTCAAACGAAAAATGACATAGACAAGCCAAATTTTCAACCGATGACATAAATAAGCCTTCATTATATTACTCGGAAGATATGCATTGCGTTTTCGAAAGATATTCAATATATTTTTAGAGTGGATCTTTACTTGTTTGATTATTTAGTGAGAATTTTTTTTGGACAAAAATAAATCGAAATAAAAAACATTGATATTTCATATAGGTTGTGTCCTTTTATGTAGGGCTCACACCCCTATCCCCCACTTCCACCATGTATTATTTTTTTGAAAAATATTTTCTTTCATACTGAACACACCTTTTAATAGCTTTCAAAAATTAAATGACTATTTTGTTCTTTAAAATCATTATTTTAAGAACATTTAAATGCAAAGATGTAATTATACAATCAAAACATAACAAATGAAAATTTCAATATTAGAAAAAAAAAAAGAAAAAAAAAGAAGAAGTCAAATGGTTGTTTTTTCTTTTCTTTTCAATTCATTTGAATATTTTTCATCTTCCATTGCTTATTCAATGATCTTCCATTTCAATTTCCAACTGTTTATTTAATAAGACACTTCAAATAATTTCAATTTAAGTTTCTTTACTTCTTATCTACTTTCCTTTGACTTTTATGTATAATAAGTATCACTTTAACTTATTTTTCTATCACTCTACTTTAAATCTTATATCTTACTAATCAATTCAATCGTCAAAATTTAAAAGTGGAGGGATCACATCCCGCACACTATATCTCTTTATGATGTTTAATAGTATTGATCCAACTAATTTAGATTATCATTATGTCCATAGTGGAAAAAATAATACTTCCTATCAAAAATTTCTCAATTTTTTAATTTTAAATCCAAGATATCTGTATATCTAATAAAAAAATAAAAAGATCAAATCTCACCCACCACATCTACTAAACGTGTGAAATTTCATTCAATACTACAGCTCATGGAATTGATTGTGATCATAATAAGCTCAATTATTGTACTGAAAATCTTTATTATATTCAGTAAACACTAAACACGTGGGATTAATATTTTAAATTTTCTAAAAAATAAAAAAATAAAAAAATCTCTTCCTTTTTCCAAAGAGATTTATTTATTTATCACTAAAGCTACCTTCAAATGTAACTTATAATTCACTCAATCCTCTTAATTTCTCTATTATTCATCTATAATTCAACTAATACAATAGTCATCTGTCCTAAATTATATTATGCCACAGTGGGATTGAATCTCCTTAAAGAGAGCGAAGTATTCGTGTCTCGGCCTAAAGATTTGTTTAAGCATTTTTTGTCATTTTATTTCAACTATAATTTATTATATTTGTGGTATATTACACCAACAATTTAAAGGAGAATCATGTTTTTGTTACAGTTTGAAAAGGTGTGGATATCAAGATTAGGATCTCAACATAATTCCGCTCAAACGTCGCTCTCTTCAAGAGATGGAAGAGAAGAGATGTACGGGTAAAGTATTTTTCTACTTGCTCAATTGAAGCGGAGAAAAAAGTAAAGACAAAACTTTTTACCTAGTACTTTCATGAATAAAGTAATACTACTTTTCATGGAAAAAATTATGTTTAAAATTTTTAAATAGTGGGGGTTCATGAAATGAGAAAAATAATAATAAAAGATCATTGTGAAATTGTGATTTTTGCATCTTTGAGAAATGCTCTAAAAAAGAGTATTAAGAATGCATATATTTATTGTGGAATAAATCACATGTTGTTGTTTGGCTATAATGAGATGATTTTTAGCGCTAACATGAGAGTTATAAATAAATTATGAAAAACATGTTGAATAACCATTTTGTTAGCATGATGGACAGCTAAATGATTGTATATATTAATGTAATTATATAGTGATAAAATAGCTGATTTGGAGGGATAGCAAGGCAGATTTAGAGGGATTGAATAGCAAATTTGTAGAGATAGAATAGCTGATCTTTAGGGATAGGAATGACGGATCTTTAGGGATGTGTAATCTTTATTTTCTCTATCTAATGGAAAGACTCTCACTTTGAGAGGCATTAAGCAGAAAATTGACATGGTATTAGAGCCTTCTCTTGGCTGTCTTGTTTCATAGAGTCATCTGTGGTTCCTTCTAATTTTTTTTGAAAATCTTGGTTTTTGGTTTTTGGTTAACTGTTCATCGACAATCAGTCCTACCACTTGGGAATTTTGTTCTTGGTCATTCTAGTTGTTTTCTTGAGTCTTTGTAGTTTTCATAGCTATTCAAAAGCATGAATTCACATCACTTTGAATCCTTCA